GTTTTCACGGAACCTTGCAAAAGCAGCGCGTTACAGTGGTGAGGGAAAATCTCCGTGTATTGCGTGTAATCACATCCATACAGTTTATGATCACAACAACAACAACGTTTGTCAGGCATCTACATTGTCATCTGAGGAGATTACAAAGATTAAACGAGTGTTTTTTTCTCTCTCTAAAACATGAAATGTGGAGTTATCTGGTTTTGCCAAAAAAACAACTGTTGGAGTTACCTGCTTTTGCTATAAAAACAAACTTTTAATAAGTTAAAAAAAACATACTTTCAATGAACTTTAATTTTGTAAATTACCTGTATTTGTTTAAGTTATTATTACTTAATCAAAACAACCCAACTGCAGTTTGATTGATATTACTTGGAATGTGCAATAAAAAAATGTGATTTCTGGAAAAAAATTTTAAATGGAGTTAACGGTTTTTGCAAATGAACTCTTCAAATATCAGACTTAAAGTGCAACCTTCTTCAGTATTATACAGTATGAAACAGGGGGTCCTTTTGCCTTTCGCTCAATCCACCTGAAAGAACAGTTGAATTCAAGTGTTCATATTTCAATGCACTTGATTCAAGTTTTCATTGTCTAGGCTATTTGCTGTTTCCTCTCACCAGTTCTCTATTAATTTCAGTCTGTTAGAGCTAAAGGAGACACTCTGGACTGGAGGCCTCCGTTTCTGCCCACCATCTGTCCATAATAACTTGTTTCTGTTCCACAAAGGCTCTTTTCTATCATTCCAGGTGAAATCTGTCATCAACCTCCTCTTTGCTGCCTACACAGGAGATGTTTCTGCGCTCAGAAGGTACCGAGTTCTTCATTGCCTACAAGTTTTTGGAGCGTTTTTTGTTCTGTTTCTGTAATATTTTCATCATACGCAGGTTTGCACTGTCCTCCATGGACATGGAGCAGCGGGACTATGACTCCAGGACGGCGCTTCACGTAGCAGCCGCTGAGGGTACAACACTGCACATGCTGTCACTATTTAGAAGCCAAGGACCAGAGGGGTCTGTTAGTTTGATATCTGATTGTTTTTAAGTTTAAGTGAGTGACGTGACGTGACATGTGGCCAAGTATGGTGACCCATACTAGGAATTAGTGCTCTGCATTTAACCCATCCAAAGTGCACACACACAGCAGTGAACACACACACACCGTGAACACACACCCGGAGCAGTGGGCAGCCATTTATGCTGCGGCACCCGGGGAGCAGTTGGGGGTTCGGTGCCTTGCTCAAGGGCACTTCAGTCGTGGTATTGAAGGTGGGAGAGAGCGCTGTACATTCACTCCCCCACCTACAATCCCTGCTGGTACAAGACTCGAACCCGCAACCTTTGGGTTACGAGTCCGACTCTCTAACCATTAGGCCACGACTTCACCGTTTGCCAGCTGGCAGTCAATGAACTGTAAGATAACAAAAAAGATGACAAACAGAAAGTGAGGCTGTATTTTACTTGTGCATTTTGACTCAGAATGTGCATGTCCTTGTCACTGTGCCATATAAATTTGGTAACGGCGCCACTTGGAGGTCAAAAGTGGTAATGTTTTAAATAATGGTGATTAGCAATGCTGCCCAACCTTACAATGTGTATATTTTTTGCTTATTTAAGCCTTTTCATTCTAGTTTAATCACTATAAATGTAGGTCCTCAAATACTGTATTGCTGGGGAATTAACTAGATCTTTATTTCACGCCTTTTTTCAGTACGCTGCATTTTTACATCTAAAGTTCAGTCTGTAGTGTGTTGCATAAATTAAACTATTCCTTTTGATTTTAGGACATATTGAGGTTGTGCGTTTTCTGTTAGAGGCCTGCAAGGTGAATCCTGGTCCCAAGGACAGGTGAGCAAACACAATCAAAATACTTTTGATTTTAGAGCAAATATTCATTTTCTTAGGCTTTTTAATTTTGAAATAGGTGATTGGAAGACATCAGGATTCCCATGATGGTCTTGGAAAACTTTTCAGGAATTAAAATTTGAATTGGATGTTGATAAAATCCTAAAACGTCACGTACAAGCCACGGAAATTGATTTCTAACAAGAATTAGGTTGAACTTTCTCTTTGTGAGTGCAATGTCTAAAATTAATTCAAATGCATTTTCATATTCAATTTCAATTACAGTTACATTAATAAATACATTAAAATACATTTTGATTGTGTGCATATATAATGTGTTTTTTAAATTATTATTATTATTGCCTTATATATATATATATATTTAAAAAGTCTTAATATATTGGATATGTGAAGGATTTATATTATTATAATAAATCGGGGGAGAGAGAAGAGAGATTGATTTACAAAATAATTTTATAAAGTTTCTATATATTAAATATAAATACATTTTACACTTCTCATAATAATAAATTATAAAATTGGAGATTTAAATCTCTAACAGTAGAAATGTAAAACAAAGTTTTGAATTACTATTGTAAATTAATTATTTTTAAACATTCATTTTATAATATTATTGCAATAAAAACATACTCCTGTCTTAATGTTAATAATAATAATAATAATAGTGCTGTCAAACGATTAATCGCATCCAAAATAAACGTTTTTGTTTACATAATATATGTATGTGTGCTATGTATATATAAATACACACAAATGCATGTATATATTTCAGAAAAATATGTTATGTTTATATATTAAATATATTTATTTATAATATAAATTATATGAATATAAA